AGACACCTGGTTGGCATCACCTGAGGGTACTAGAAGCTCAAAACAGCTGTCAATAGAAACAGCAAAAAAATTGTTTGGCAAAGATAGAGAAAATGTGGCAAATTTTTCGTATCAGCTCCACTGCTCATCCCACATATGCAAGTTCATAAATGTGGCAAAATTTAAGGGAAACTTTATTTTAGTAAATACTGTCAGAAATTAGACTTGGCTTGAACCAAGTTTTGAATTTTAGCCCACTTGTGTAACTGATTTAGACCCCACTGCTTTAAACCAAAGCAGTGCTGATGGTTTTGTTCTTTATGTTTAGTTGTACACAGGAGTCTGTTGCTTTTGTGTCAACTAGAAATGTTTGACCATTTGAACAAGCAGTAACTAATATAAGTGTAGATGAAAATCATGTAAAATAAGTAGCCATCAGCTTTAAAAATCAGAGCTACTGGATTCTCCTGAGGTCATTAAATGTTGGGATGTGTGTGTCAATGCATCAGTACCACAGGCACCTGCAGACTTGTTGACCTGTGAAGGGTCATGAGTGCTCTCTGGTGGTTACTGAGGAAACTGCACAACAGGTCAGGATGGCAGCCATTTTAGTCTTGAGGGTTCAATTCAGCATGACTCTGTGCAGATGAATCAACTCTGCAGGATCAGACTGTGTCTGGCTCAGGTGTTGTGTTTTTGGCACACATAAAAAGCTGCAGTGCTGGAACATCTGTCCGCTCTTCAAACAGACACCTCACGTCAGGTGAACAGCATGCGTAAGACTCTGTCTGCTGACTTTACATGGTTAACTTCAGCAGCAGTGTTTTTGCAAGAGTATCTTGTCCTAAAATAGAATACAAAATGATCTCAGTAGTTTATTGCTCAAAAATCCATTCACAACTTCACAAACTTTGATGAATGCTTTATTGACAGTGGTATAGCCTCTAAACATGGTTTATTACAGCCAGCAGTAGTTCTGTTGATTTCCACGTACAGTTTAAAAAAAACACACATTATATAGTTTATTATTATCCAAAGCAAAAACATCCTGTTACAAACTCCTCTCCAATAAAAAAGAAACAAAGATGTGGATCAATAAAAAGAGGCGAACCTTCATTGAAGCTTCATTCAGGAGTGTCTACACAGGTAGAAAATATCCATATCCAAGTATGAATGAAAATGTTTCCATCATAAGGCAAGGGACACTGAAGTGATAGGTACGTGTAACTTTGGCTTCTTTTTTGTGTTTCTATGGAAATATTTGTGTAATTGGTCCAAATTTGAGCCATTTGGGACTTTGTCTCAATTCAGGCGTTGCAGCCCTATAGACCAAGGTTTATGGAGGCCACACCCTTTGCAGTCCAGGTTGGGGTTAGCTCCAGAATCAATACTTTTAATTGCATTTTATTAAACATCACTTTGCAGCAAAAATGTCATCAGTTGCTAAACATACAATTAAAAACAAATTCTTCCATTTATTGTGAATTTCCAAACTCCACTATCTTTGTTTTCTTGTTTGGTTTAATTATGACGCAATGAATCCTGGGGTATCGTCAGCCACACACAATACTCAGATGCAGATTACGTTTTTAGGGTTTTGTTGGCCTCATAAGAAGAAGCCTAAAATGGGACGTAACTGACCCACAACGTGCTCTACAGAGAATGCAGCCTCTGAATTGAGACACAGCAAATTTTGCTCAAATGTTTTTCCTGGGTCCTTACAACACGACGTGTCAGAATCCATGGCTAAATGTTGGTACTAACATCAGGGCTTTTGGCAGAGAGGAAAACTGATAAGACAGTCCCATAATTTATTGGGGTTCATTCTTGATTTGAGACAAACCAGTTCAAATGYGGGAGGAAAAATTTGAAATAAGAAATAAATAAGAAATTAACAARGAAGTTTAGATTTTTTAGTTGAAGCATCATCTTGTGTAGCCTAAACATGCACCCCACAACCCTAAAAATCTGGTCACACAGAGGATGGATGGATGGTAGACCTACAGTGGTTTGCAAAAGTATTCATACCCCTTGAACTTTTCCATATTTTGTCACATTACAACCACAAACATAAATATATTTCACTGGAATTTAATGTGAAAGACCAACACAAAGTGGTATACAATTGTGAAGTGGAAGCAAAATTTTACATGAATCAAAACATTTTTTACAAATAAAAAACTGAAAAGTGCGACGTGCAAAAGTATTCAGCCCCCCTGAGTCAATACTTTGTGGAGCCACCTTTTGCTGCAATTACAGCTGCAAGTCTTTTAGGGTATGTCTCCACCAGCTTTGCACATCTAGTGACTGCAATTCTTGCCCATTCCTCCTTGCAAAACAGCTCAAGCTCAGTCAGATTGGATGGAGAGCGTTTGTGAACAGCAGTTTTGAGATCTTGCCACAAATTCTCAATTGGGTTTAGGTCTGGACTTTGACTGGGCCATTCTAACACATGAATATTCTTTTTTTTAAACCACTCCATTGTAGCTTTGGCTTTATGTTTAGGGTCGTTGTCCTGCTGGAAGGTGAACCTCCGCCCCAGTCTCAAATCTTTTGCTGACTCCAACAGGTTTTCTTCCAAGATTGCCCTGTATTTGGCTCCATCCATCTTCCCATCAACTTTGACCAACTTCCCGGTCCCTGCTGAAGAGAAGCACCCCCAGAGCATGATGCTGCCACCACCATATTTGACAGTGGGGATGGTGTTTTCAGAGTGATGTGCAGTGTTCTTTCTCCGCCACACATAGCGTTTTGCATTGTGGCCAAAAAGTTCAATTTTGGTCTCGTCTGACCAAAGCACCTTCTTCCACATGTTTGCTGTGTCCTCAACATGGCTTCTGGCAAACTGCAAACGGGACTTCTTATGGTTYTCTTTTAACAATGGCTTTCTCCTTGCCACTCTTCCATAAAGACCACATTTGTGTAGTGCACGACTAATTGTTGTCCTGTGGACAGTTTCCCCCACCTGAGCTGTGGCTCTCTGCATTTCATCCAGAGTCACCATGGGCCTCTTGGCTGCCTCTCTGATCAGTGATCTCCTTGTTCGGCCTGTAAGTTTCGGTGGACGGCCTTGTCTTGGCAGGTTTACTGTGGTGCCATACTCTTTCCATTTCCGGATGATGGATTKAACAGTGCTCCGTGAGATGTTCAAAGCTTGGGAAATCTTTTTATAACCTAAGCCTGCTTTAAACTTCTCCAAAACCATATTCCTAACCTGTCTGGTGTGTTCTTTGGACTTCATGATGCTGTTTGCTCCCCAATATTCTCTTAACCAACATCTGAGGCCGTCACGGAGCAGCTGTATTTGTACTGAGATTAGATTACACACAGGTGGACCCTTTTGAGTCATTAGCAGTCATCAGGCAACTTCTGAATGCAATTGGTTGCACTCAGGGAAAAGGGGGCTGAATACTTTTGCACGTCGCACTTTTCAGTTTTTTATTTGTAAAAAATGTTTTGATTCATGTAAAATTTTGCTTCCACTTCACAATTGTATACCACTTTGTGTTGGTCTTTCACATTAAATTCCAGTGAAATATATTTATGTTTGTGGTTGTAATGTGACAAAATATGGAAAAGTTCAAGGGGTATGAATACTTTTGCAAACCACTGTATAACTTAAGAACCAGATTATTTTTCCCACTTTACTGTTTAAAAATCTGAGTAAAACAAAAACCAGAAATGAACATTTCAATMATATAAAAGAAATATTTTGACAGGATAAACATTTAAAGTAAAATACATTCATGAATTTATAGACTCGAGATATGAAAATAAACATTTTTAATAATAGAAGGTAAATGTGTTATGTGTGTGATGGACTTGCGACCTGTCCAGGGTGTACCCCGCCCCTCACACTGTGACTGCTGGATATGGGCACCAGTGACCCACGCGACCCTGAAAAGGAAGAAGTGTGTACAGAAAATGGATGGATGGATGGATGGATGTGTTATGTGCTATATCCGGGATAAAGAAGAAAAAAAAGCTAATTCCGAACATTTTTTTAATGTTCCTGTATTTTTTCAGTGTAATTTTGACACTTTGCTAAAAAAWTTTGCCTCAGTGGTACTTCATAAAATCTGTTCCACAATCTGAAAAATGTACACCTATCATTAAGTCTTATTGCATTTCCTGGAAAAGTTTGAAAAAAAAAAAAGACTTAAAGGCTCAGTATACTCAATCCAAAACTGAACAGTCAATACACAGTTAGTGGTTGTTTGACCTTCATTTACGCACACAGCTTTCATAGCCCCTGAGCTGAGCTCCTGGGAAGCCCCGCCCATGTCGCTGTAAAAACAACAGCAAAAAAACCCTCTGATATTGGCTGGTATTTTGGCCACAAATTTGTCACTGTTAAAGAGCCTCAGTTTTTGGCAGACAGATTCGTCCGTGCTTTAAAGTCCTCCTCATACTCCATCAGAACTGCTGATTGGGTCTCACTGATGCAGCTGTGTGGCGAAAATTGAGTCATTTTCTTTGCAACTTTGAGTCTACAGCCCCTTCTTGTCACAACCCACCAGAAGAACTTTTCACCCCACTCTGCTTAAGAAATTACTATTGGGTCATGTTTGTCTATGCTGAAAGCACTCAAGGTTTCATTTTGCTTTAACAACTCACTTCCAGAAGATGACTGTTGTACCCAGAAGAAGACATTTATAAAGATAATCAAATGGTCAAACACTCATGGAAGGAGAAACACAAATGTTGTGCTCAGTGAAATCTGTCACCAAAAACTGTGGAGCTTTAACTGGAACAGATTTGTGGCCAAAATATCGGCTTTTTTTTTTTTTTTTTCGCGAGTGTGGACACCAGTAAGACGAAACCCCATACAATGATGCATACCACAGTGGGAGGGGTTTCTCAGGAGCTCTGCTCAGAGGCTATGAAAGGTGAATGTTGAACAACCATGTGACTGTATGTCAACAGTTCAGCGTCAGACAGTGGCGGAGCCACACAATTGTTACTGGGGTGGCCAGACCAGGACCACTGCTCATACAGGAGCGGCCAGGGAGATTGTTTTATTTTTTTCTTCATGTAAAGTTGCTGTGGATCTTTGCCTCTTGGTCATTTCCTAGCATACTGAGCCCTTTAAGCAATTCTTTTAGGAAGGCAGACATGTCAAGTTTTACGGATTGGCCATAATTTACACAGATTTTCTGTCATTTTGAAGGTAGACGGATGTATAGATATGAATTTTTTTCAAGTTTTATGTATTAAAAAACTGTTTCAAATTTATTTAACATATCAGAGCTTGTAATTTGTTTAAAAAAAACAAATAACATCAAATAATCATTTTACAACCCAGGCTGCTGCTATAAATAAGTTCTTCCACCTTCCTTTCCTCCTGCTGCAGGTGCTGTCATCCCTGTGTGAATAATACATTTTTTATGAAAATTACGGATCTTTTACTCTCATTATACAAGTAAACATTGTGACATGTATGGGAAGGGGTTGATTTATAAAAATTGTGTTGCAATTCTCAGTACTTTCCGATAGAGGGCAGAAAGAGTAATGTTTCAAGAAATTGTTTATTCTTTATTTGTGCATTTTATTCTGAAACGTTAAACATTCTGGCTTCACTGTCTTTACAACCGAAATGTTTACTTTTTGACAAAGTGTACAATTTCAATTTTGAACACGCACTTGCTTTAAACTTGTTTTAAATAGAATATATTTAATGTTAAAAACTCGTAGCATGACCTAAAACCAGATTTTAATCCTGAAAGTATAATACCCATTTCATGTTTTAATTTTCACTGCTACTTTTACACTGTTAAGCCCTTTTTTATTCCTGTCTGTAGTGTAAATGTGAAATATGGATAGCATCAAAGAGGAACAGCTAATGAAAGCCTTCACATTGCAGCACACACTGTTCCTGGGAAACGTACGGTACCGACAGCAGAACCTGTCGTGATGGCGTTAGAAGTTCGGATGTCAGAGGGAAGAACTAAGCTGTTTATTTTAGCTTTGCCTTTCAGCTTCTCCGCAAAGCTCTAACAAAGCTTGTGTGAGTTGGCTCCTCAGCTCATCTGTCAAATACTGCATGAGCCCTTTTATCCTCAAAGATAACCTGTTGTACTCCGCATCAGTGCTGAATGACTTTTTGACTTCCTCCTCTGCGCTCCGTGCTCCTGTCTTGCTTTCGTGGCCAGCAAGTAATCTTCGTTTGGCTGAGTCAGAACTGCACATTAAGCCAAGCACTGCCGTCTGCTCTCTAATGTAGTATCACACGTAATAAAAGCAGAAAAAAACAACATCCTTATTTAATGACAGCACAATGAATTTTTGTTGTGTGCTTCTCTGACTCTCTCACTCTCTTCACAAGTTGCACCTCACACAGAGAGGGTGTGAATTCAAGTAGAAACAWGGCAACAAGTCCACCAGTGTCAACAAAACCATGGAGCACAAACAAAAAGCCTGCTGTTCGGCTCACATTAACAGTTCAGGTTCTCTAAGGCTGCAGCATCATGCTCTGTGACAGCTCTGTCACAAAGAAGCACTTTCAAGCTCTATCAGGGGGATGCACAAAGTCACATCCTGCTGCGGTGGTTTGTTCCATCCTTCACCTCCCTCTTCTCAGAGAAAACAGTCGTCTCCTTTCCTCCTCCTGCCTGCTTTCTATTGTTTTCATCTTGTAGTTCCATTTTGGGATCTGGAGTTGGTTCTGGTTATCGTTCCTCCTGTTCAGGTTTTCGGGTATGAAGCTTTGAGGCGGCGCCTTGCAGAGCCGGACCTTTGGCACCACGAGACCSGGCCGCACACTGCTTCGCCTCAGCATGCTGAGCGGCGCCAGACTGGCTCGCCTCAGGGCCACTGTGGACGCGGCGGCAACATCCCTGACTATCTGGGGCTGCAGGCTCGCCCTGCGATCCTTCACTTTGGGGATGAGGAGGATCCGCGAGTTCTGGAAGAATCTTTTGTAGTTGTTCAGTCTGTCGGGACCCAGACGCTTCAGCTCCGCCACCCGCTGCCTCCTCAGAATCTCCTGCACCGCTTGTCGACGCTTGCCGATGCACGGCGGGCTGCCCGGACACACCGTGTGGCAGGCTGTGGCGATGAACGGACTTGAGATACCTGTGGTTATCTGCACCATGTGGTCCAGAACGCCATCATCCACAGGTTTTATCTTGTTGTTGGTGCCAAACCTATAAGAGCAGCAGGACAGCAGGTTTCTTAGGYGCCTCCAGCAGGTCTTCGGCCTTTGGGCCTCGGACACCAGACCCTGCAGAGGGACATGTTTAAACAAGTGTGTGGTAATGAATATGATCTAATGAATGAAGTGAAAGGTGTACTGTTAACCTCTAACATGGGCCACTCTAGAGAGAAGGAGTCACAGAACTGCCCAGCACAGGGCCTGGCCATCAGCCGAAGCATCAGGTAGGCTGTATAATGCCGCCCGGTGAAAAGAGCCCACTCCTTGGGTGTCATACGGCGACCGTAGTCTTGGGCCTGAATGTCCCCTCCTGCAAACACAAATATATGTTGAGACAACACATTCTCACCCCATAGTCATCATACAGGGGTTAGACAATGAAACTGAAACACCTGGTTTTAGACCACAACATCCCTTTCAGACAGCTTCCTCTTGCGTCCGCAGTTAATCCTGTTGGTCCTTCTTGGTGGTATGCTGACATTACCCTGGATACTGTGGCTCTTGATACGTCACAAAGACTTGCTGTCTTGGTCACAGATGCACCAACAATTTGTCCTCTTTTGAACTCTGGTATGTCACCCATAATGCTGTGTGCATTGCAATATTTTGAGCCAAACTGTGCTCTTACCCTGCTAATTGAACCTTCGCACTCTGCTCTTACTGATGCAATGTGTAATTAATGAAGATTGACCACCAGGCTGGTCCAATTTAGCCATGAAACCCCCCACACTAAAATGACAGGTGTTTCAGTTTCATTGTCTAACCCCTGTATATGATTGCTTAGTCAGGCTATCGCACACTCTTCATTAATTGACGCAACAGGTTAGATTTTAGGTTTTGTTTCAGTGTTTAATATTAACATAACTGGTTAGGTTTAGTTAGTAAAGTCAGAGGTTAAATGTTTATGGCTAAATTAATAGAAGTTTAGGATTAAAGGGATCCCTGATTAGTTGTAACATTAGACTTTATTTGATAAACATTTATTTTAAATGTAAAATAAAGACTAAAAGTACTGTAGAATGTTCAGTTTTTATAATTTTTAAACTAAATTTTTAAAAATATGTTACACGGTCTGAGCCATTTTATTTACACGCAAAGCATTCTGGGTAAATGACGACATCAACTAGGTCATCGGCACAAGGCTGCTAGCGAGCTATATCCACCCTGAAGGTTAATCTTGGACAATATCTGACGCTTGACTCTTAAAAGAAACCAGAGAGCGTTGACAGAGAGGAGAAGGTAGAAATGACTCAGCCTGTAATTGAAAATGTGGATGGAGGACAACAGTTTAGCATGTTAGCTTGTCACGCTAGCCATATAAGGCATAGCGTCGGTGCTAAAGCTAACAGGCTAAGCTGAGGTTCTTCTTCCATGAAGCAGCTCTGTTGTCCTCCATCTATATTTTCAGTTACAGGCTGAGTCATTTCTACCTTCTCCTCTCTGTCAACGCTCTCTGGTTTCATTTAAAAGAGTCGATCATCAGATATTGTCCAAGATTAACCTTCAGGGTGGATATAGCTCGCTCACACCGAGGACCTATCCACGTCATCATTTACCAAAGAATGCTTTGCGTGTAAATAAAATGGCTCAGTCTGTGTTAAAATATATTTTTTAAATTTTACAAAACTGAACAGCCTACAGTATTTTTACAGTCTTTATTTTACAGTTAAAATATATGTTTATCAAATAAAGTTTAATGTTACACTAATCATGGATCCCTTTAAGTGGTAGGGTTGTGGTATATTTGATAACTTTTTCAAAAATATTGGAGCAGGCGCTTCCTCCTTGTTCTCATGTCATCAACTATTGATGAGAGAGGGGCACCCGACGCATCAATAAGTGGTGCAAGCATCCATGTATGACAACTAGAAAGTGAGAATTCACTGACTGAGCTGTTCTAACATGGAGTGAAGTTACATTCAAGTACTGATTTGGCTAACTTTACGTCAGCGTATAGACAGTGGTTTGTAAAAGTTTTGAAAAGATGTATTGAATTCCAGGTTTTAAAGCAACAAAAAAGAAAGAACACCCCAGCTTTTCACTCAGATGCAGGACTTGTGTTTTCTGTCACAATCCATCCACTACGTCAGGAAAGCCTTTTAATGTAAACCATGTTTGACTCCAACATGTTAACTCGTACACACCTGCCAGCATGAGAAGTCTCACACACTCGTGCCTGCCCTGCATGGCAGCCTTCATCAGAGCTGTAAAACCGTGACAGTTCCTCCTCTCTATGTCCAAACCAGGGAAGTAGTTCAGCAGGTAGTAGGAAATAATGGAATGTCCTGCAGACCAAAAAAGAAAAGCAGGTTGTCTGCAAAAATACTGAATGAGTAAAGTAAAGTTCAAACATCTTTCTGTATTGACCCTTCGCACGTGACATCACGCTCTTCAGAAAGCGGCCAGCATCAAAATGAGCTCAACAGCTGTGGGTGAACAAGCGTCCACAGCTGAAAAAGAAGCAGACGAAGTAGCCTGCTGTAAAATGTACCAGAGGGCAGTGGGACCTCATCAAATCTGTCCCACCATCTGAAAAAGTTCCACTCAATAGAACTTTTTGAGTGGATGAAAATGAAGCGCTCTGAAAGTTTAAGCTTTCTACTTAAAACATCCATGGCTATACAGGCAAAAACAACTTTCRATTCTCCCCTCCTTCACTTCAGATGCCAGTCATGGTGCTTCCACATAATTAGGTGACGTAGTTGCAAAGAGYCAATACATGCATTTTTCTGCTTCAGATCATCGGTCATGTTTTAGCATTCACCAATTCACCTTATAATAAAGAAATTGCCTTTCTGTGAAAATGCAGTGTGAATGCTGAGTACTGTGTGTAGCAATCKGTTGAAGAAGCYAAAACTGAATTGTTAATGATGAAACAACTGGAACAAAATCTAAAAGTAGCAAAGCAGTAAACACAAACATCAGCTAAAATCTAAAATTAGTCAAATGGAATCTAGAAGCAAAAGCAAAGAAAACAGGGGCTAGATCTAAAATGACCTAAACGAAAGTTAAAAACTAAAATGAGCAAAATAGTAACTAAAAATGAAATATGGCAGAATAGTAGCTACAAGCTAGTTTAGTGGTAACTAAAAGGTAAAAACAAAACAAGTACACTAAAATTGATTTCCATAAAATAAAACAAAGCTTTTTACTCATGTGACTCATCTCAGTTATTTCGAGTCAAATAAAATGCAAATACCTAAACCAAGGGTGCCCAAACTTTTTCCCTGAGAGGGCCAAAATGAAAATGTATCTGAGGGCTGTGGGCCAAATGTAATAATATAAACACATCAAATACAAATACTTCTTAAGTAAAGTCCTGTTATTTTTAATGATTAAGCTAACAGCCATTGCTGKGGCTCATGGTTTTACTAACAGCACTACAGTCATTGAACCAATAAGTTTAGGTGGAAATACTGTGTTTCTACATAGGACAACCTAGAAACCATGGCTASTGCTAGTGGGCCAAATCAAATGGCTTAGTGGGCCAGTTTTGGCCCATGGGCCCCACTTYGGGCACCTCTGACCTAAACATTTCAAAAAGTGTTWAAAGTTACAAAAGCAACCACCAGATCAAGCTAAATATTTGAAGTATTATTGTGTGCTGAGGTACTCACAGTGTTAAGAAATAATGTTTAGAGGGAACTATAAACAGGAAACCAATAAAAGCTATGAAACTTTCTATAATGTTTWATATATCCAGACATATTTAAACCTCCTTCTGCCTTTAGGTCAAAAAGACCCATAAAGTCTCATTTTTAAAGCMGAGGCCCTTTTGTCTTTAAGACCAATGCAAAAAAACTGGTCTTCATCAATTCTTAAAACTCATTAATTACCACATAGGATTTATTAAAGTATATTTCTGTGTACCAGTACTTATTAAACAAAAAATAAACCACACAATAAAAGGTGTGTGTAAAAAAACAGACAAAAACAAAACAAATCCATCTCTTACACCAGCAGCTCGTCAAACCAGCCTTAGCCGTAATGACCTGCTAATAATCACCCTGCGTGACCTTATCAGTGTTTGACATTGTCAGAGGCGTTTTGGTACACCCTTCCTACAACYGTGTGCATCAGTTCATTTAAGGTTTGTTGACATTCATTTGTGGTCAGAGTGGCTTTGAGTTATGGACTTTGACAACGCCATTCTAACTCTGACGTGTTTCTTTTGCAGCCGCTCTGTAGTCCATTTGCTGCTGTCTGGKCTCACTGTTCTGCCTTTTCAGCCCAGATTTAGCAGTTGAGATGGCTCAAAATGTGTTGTTATCATGAACAAAATGTATAAAGTTATTTTGCTGAAAAAGCAATAAATAATATGTGAAACTGTGATTTTTACATGTACATGGCAAAGCACAATGACAGAATGTCTGGATTTAATGCACAGATACAGTATTTAAGTCATATCAATAAAACTAGTGACAATTGAAATGATTAACATTATAAGGTAGTAATATTATTAAGATCAAGAACAGAAGAACAGCAGAAAACCTGAATACTAAATGCATCAATGTATTTGAAGCCATGAAGTCTCAGTGTTGATCACCTGGCACCCTAGAGATGTTTCACTGTTTTTTTTTTTTTCATTTTTACTTTTCATGAAAGGAGATCAATACTTCTTTTAACAAAGCAGAAAATAAAAAAAGCGAGTGTGCAGCCATTTATTACAGCACACAGAGAGCTATTCATCTTCATTAGGGGATGAGAGGCTGGGGCGCCACATCTGATACATGTGGCTGCATCACTATGAAATTACTGATGATGCTTCTCTTGTATGACATCAGACCTCATAAAACTCTCCACTAGCTTTCGTTTGGGGGCAACAATTAATGTTTCAGAACTGCTTCCATGAAGTGAAGTTTCTTCTGATGTAAATTAGGTCATTATAGACAGATTGTATATTAGCTTTAATGTTTAAAGTGTCTTCAACAACAATAGGTAAATAACTGAACTTCCGTTGCACTTAGTTAATCCAGCATSCAGGCATTTTCTGATGTTAAACTGAGAGAAGAATTTATATATTTTAGCTGATATTTATTCAGTCATTTGGCTGCTATTTTAGAAATATGGTCCACTATGGCTATTATAACAGTCAGGTTCATAAATTTCAATGTCTGACTACTGGCTGTTTAAAACACATTACACTTTGACTAGTGGGGTGGAGAGATAAACACCTTTTTATGAACAACTGTGCTATATTCATAATTATAAATTGCAATAATTGATGGAAATATTTTATTTTTAAAAATGTATTAATTTTAGCATAGCAAGCATCAGTGCATTTCACTTACAGGAACAGAAAATTCAGCTCTGACCTCACTTTAAATAAATATTCTTGCACTTGTGCAGTGGGGATTTATGGAAGTGTTCAGAACAAATAATATCTTGTTAATATCATGATGTAGATAGATATTTTAGTGACCTCACTTTGGATTAACAGAGTTTCATTCTGTCCAGACTGATGAGCTAATGGCTTGTCACGTCAGAGTAAAGACCAAAGTGAATTCATCTTTAAACAACTTTAAAATGCCATTATARTAAACCTTTTCACTGCTAGATAGTTTTGGTTATTCACAAACACAACAGCAGCAGCTAGCTGTAGCACTTTCAGTGCAGCCTGGGTTACTTCCAGAATAATTTTATATAATATTTCTGTCAAGTTTTTAAAGGTGGCAGGTGGTTTATGTTGGTCAGGGGGTCATTCAAAGAGGAATTAAGATATTAACTCTTTATAACAATTTTACAGATTTCTGCTTCAAAATGGTTGGATTATCTCTCTATGTTTAAAGACCTACATATGTAACACTTTTCACGCTCTTCAGTTTCTTTGTATTATAAAAAAAAGCAGGTGGGTTATTATGTGTTTTTATTTTATTTTGGCATATAGTTCAATTCTAAAACACAATCAAGTTACAATGTCATCTTCAGTTATTATAAATGCTGTTTGTAAAAAAAACGATTTTGCATCATAACCTATTTAAACTTCTTGAAATTGGCCCCTGTCTCTCTAAGAACTTCCTACTGTTTCAGACACTCCCGCTTCAGTATGTCCTCACAACAATGCTCCAGACGAGGGGTGCTTTGTTGGGTGGCAGCTCAGCTGCAGACTGAGCTYCAGGGAGGAGCTTTGGGTAAATAGGCGGAGCTTTGTACTAACAAGCATTAAGGCAGGTCCACATGGCTACCACAGGAGCTTCAAGGATTTCTCAAACATCCATGAAAGCGTCAAAACAACACTCTGGGTAGGTTTTTGATGAGGGAATGACATTATAACATAATTTAAAGCTCAAAAAAGTCTACTTTGGATAATAACCCCTCCCCCTTCAATTTCTAAGCTTATTATTGCTCTTTAATTTTGTTTGTTTGTTTTTGTGTTTGTTTTTTGTTGGTGATGTGTGTTTACCTGCTTGTGCTGCTGTAATCAGAGCTGTGTTGCCCTCGTTATCCTGCCAGTTAACATCCAGGTATGGACACTGAGCAAGGGCCATGACAACTTCCACATAACCATGATAACACGCCACAATGAGGCCAGACTAAAAGACAAGAGGCTCCAGTTAGTTTCTTTTTGTGAATTTGACCTTGTAAAAATCACCAACAATGTTCTTGGCTACAGTAAAGGTTTTTAAATAAAAATAAATTCACACACTTCATTTACAAAAGTAAACTGTACTACTATATTTTTGTACTTGCTCACTAGTTCCTAAGAAATTTTGCACACAAACCAAGTCAGTTGCACAATCACTGTACTTTTATAGTGGTAGGAAACAACACTTACCTGAAACAGCAACTTAGTGTCAATAAATACCCTGCTTTTTATARAAAGTTGTCTGGCACGGTAACCTCATTTCACAATATGGGACGAGTCCTGAGCCCCATGCTGTTTCAGTTCAACCTTAAGTGTCTGCTTGAGTCAGACTATCAGGATCAGTGTTCATCTGTCTTTATCCATCTCTGTCAACCAACAGTTTCTCAAACCCTGAGGTCAGCTGTTTAAGAGCTAAGGCTGTCACAGCCTGCTGCTTCTTTACATTGACACTGTGTAGTTTACACTCCCCATCTGTCACCAGAGCCTGAGTCCTGCTTTCAGTGGTTCAGTTGTTTCCAGGGAGTACACCTCTCTGCCTTTGCTCACCTGCTCGATAAAACCAGATATGGTTCTTACTGGGGTTTGAATCCAGCTCCGCTGTTTGATATATCCCAGTGTCTTTATTTAGCAATATGCTCTTTCAGCTAAAAATATCAATTTGTAAGTTAGTGTTAAAATAATTTCCTACTTTTCCATTTAAGCCTATTTGGAGCACAAATTTACAAAAAATAAACTGGCTGTGATGAAATTTGTTTTAAATTTAAGCTTAGAATTTCTTTCATTGATGTCAATCAATTTAACCAAATAAACCAATGCTTGAAAACAATGCTTTACTAAAAAGCATATTCATACCAATAAACTTTTACTACAAAAAAACTGTATATAAATTTATAAAAGTGATGCAAGAGCCCCTATGATAGACTTGCAACTTGTCCAAGGTGTACTCCCCACTTACACTGTGCTGAGCATGGGCAACAGTGACCTTGAAAGGATGAAGGGGATAAAAGGGATGCATGAGCCCACCCATGGTCTGTTGYCATTTTATTTCTTTGTCATTCAGACTCTCACACCATGCAACAGGCTTTGAATGTGCGTAGTATAGCGTTAAAACACTTCAATAGGTTGTCCTCTTTTGATTGACATGTTTTTTGACCAACTGGGTTGCAACAGGCAATAACGTTCAGCAAACTCCATGCTGCCTGTGGGTGGGCCGTGTGATTGAATGACTGCAGAACAGACTGATCAGCTCTGAACCTTTTTCTGACATCACAGACATGCAGCCAATCAAATTCCAGATCTATWGGTGTGTAGGGTTTGTGGGTACAGAGGAGAAATTCAAGTGAAAAAWTTTTTTTCTGGTAATTCAGCCATTTTTTTGCTCCCGTGTCTTCCTATTGGTGRGCTAAGACTATGTCGGACTCTGTATTTTTTTCTGGCACCCTACCTAACCTGACCAGTGATGATATGTTTAGTTGCATGTCTTCATTTAACCGCTGGGCATCTAAGTGGTGTTCTGAAAACAACGTCGGCTACGTGGATAACTGGAGTTATTTCTGGGGGAACCTGGTCTGATGCGGAGAGATGGCAACCATCCCACCCTGACTGGAGCYGCTCTCCTCTCTAAGAATTTAGCTGACTTTGTTGACCACAGAACTTATTGACAATCCAGGAACCAGACTATAGGAAGCAGAGTTGTAGTCTTACACACCTCTCTGCTGCTTCTCTTTTATTACCCACCCAAACCCCCATTAACATTGTGTCAGCCCCATGGACTAAATTAAATAAACGTAAAAACTCTAGAAAAATAAATCATAAAAATCTTATAAAAATAAACACAGTTACTTTACCAGAACAAAACAATAAAACTATTAGGTGTGGTTCTTCTAAGTCTCTGTTGGTTAGGGATCTGATAACTGATCATCATATTGATTTATTTTGTCTTACTGAGACCTGGTTACAACAGGAAGATTTTGTTAGTATAAATGAATACACTCCTGCTAATTATTTAAATTGTCATGTTCCTAAAACAACAGGTCATGGTGGAGGAGTAGCTGCAGTTTATAAGTCAGAACTATTAATTAATGCTAAATCTAATATTAGTCATAATTCATTTGAGTCTTTATCCCTCAGTCTTTCTCATGCAAAATGGAAATCAGAAAGACCACCTATACTACTACTAGCTGTTATTTATCGTCCTCCAAGCCCTTATTCTCAGTTTTTATCTGAATTCTCTGATTTTCTGACTGATTTTTTATAAAATACTGATAAAATTATAATGTTGGGAGATTTTAACATTCATGTTGATAGTGAATGTGATAGCTTAAATATAGCTTTTAGTAATTTAATTGAGTTAATTGGTTTTAGTCAAAATGTCCACAGACCTACTCACTTTCTTCGTCACACTCTTGATCTGGTTCTGACGTATGGTATAGAGAGCAAGAACTTAATGATATATCCTCACAATCCTGTTCTCTCTGACCATTTTTTAATAACCTTTGAGTTTACATTGGCTGACTTTATAGCTACTGAGAGTAAATTTCATTATAGTAGATGTTTATCAGAGAACGCCGTAGCTAAATTTAAAGAATCTCTTCCATCTTTATTTTCCTCTGTCTTACAGAATAATGTAACAGAGAACAGTAACTTAGATGGTCTTGTTGATAATATTACAAATTTAATGCAAACCTCTCTTGATGGAATTGCTCCACTAAAAAAGAAAGCCATCGATCGGAGGAAGCCGACTCCTTGGTTTAATTCAGAGTTACGTTCTTTAAAACAGGCATCTAGAAAACTGGAGAGAAAATGGTGCTCCACTAACGTAGAAGAATCTTATTTAACCTGGAGAGACAACCGGCTAACATTTAAGAAAGCCCTTCGTAAAGCTAGAACTGTCTATTATTCATCTTTAATAGAAGAGAATAAAAACAATCCTAGGTTTCTGTCCGGTACTATAGCTAAACTAATGAAAAGTCCTTTCTCTGTTGAGCCATGTTTCCCTATGACTTTAAGTAGTGATGATTTCATTAGATTCTTTATAGATTAATTTTATTAAGGAATACAATTCATGCCAAATTTCCTGCTACTGTCTCTGATTCTCTGTCAGATGAGGCAACTTTAAAGCCACTAGAACCTGATTTATGTCTGGACAGTTTTAGTCCTGTTGAGCTTTCTGCATTATCTAAAATAACAGCTTCATCCAAACCAACAACATGTCTGCTAGATCCTATCCCAACCAGACTGTTCAAAGAAGCATTTCCCTTAATTAATATTTATATTTTAGATGTACTTAATTTATCTTTAGTAAATGGTTATGTGCCGCAGAGCTTTAAGGTTGCTGTAATTAAACCTTTACATAAGAAACCTGATCTTGATTCAGGAGTTCTAGCCAACTATAGACCTATATCTAATCTCCCATTCATCTCAAAAGTTCTTGAGAAATTAGTTGAAAATCAGCTACGTTAACATCTGGATAGAAATAATCTATATGAAGAGTTTCAGTCAGGGTTAAGAGCTCATCATAGCACAGAAACAGCACTGGTGAAAGTTACCAACGATATTCTCATGGCCTCAGACAGTGGACAACAATTATATTTATTATGTAAATAAACCAAGTATTACAAAGATCTGTTACCTTAATAGTTTATTTTGCTGCATTTAATCATGATTACAACATACAGAACCCTATAAAAGTAGTGATAAATAAACAATATCAAAAACAAAAATAACACATTATTTGACACAAGTATTATTTTTGACATCTCTGACTTGCCAAATTTTTAAACCAATTGTATTTTCACTTTCATAGTTTTATCTTCAACTGCATGTCATTTTAACTGTCTTTAGTGTGCATAGAAATATTTTTACCAGCTTGTAGCCAAGATTCTGACAGTTCTGTAGATACCTAACATGTCAATGTCTAACTAAAAGAACGTAAAGTAATTAAAGTAGAAAACTGGGGTTTTGAGTGAAAAGATGACTGAACCAATTGGCGGGCCGAATTGTGGTCACTTGACCAAAACCAAATACCATTTTGGTAYGTGGCCCGCGGGCCGCCAGTTGAATAGCCCTGTCCTATGTTTTCATGTGTGAAATGTCACTTTTACCCACTTTTATGAATGATTGAAGCAAAATACAGCGTTTGAGCGCTTTCAGCACAAACACTCCCACGAAATTCCGAGCAATCACACAATAAAGTTCTTATGTGGAGGGAGACGAGGTTGATCAGCTGTTCCCGCGGACAGTCCAACAGCTACAGCAGGACCCTCCTCCCGCTGTCGGTGTCCTGTTATTCCCAAAAAAACATTAAAACATTACCTCCTCCCTCTTGGCGCACACATCCACACATTCTAACACACGTCTGGTGTAAGAAGTAATCTGCTACTAGCTTCCAAAATGCCAAAATTAATCTGTTCTCCTCCCATCTCGAAACTTTGAGGCCCGGCCAGAAGCTCTGTGTTTACAAGCCKAGTACCGAGAAACTGTTCCTTTTCAGTCATTTCACTCAGTACAGCACACAGTTGTATATGGGACACGCGCGCCCTCGYGCGCCTGGCTGAAGCCACCTCTAATCACGTCTTTAGACCGGTGACGTGGTGACGTTGAATGTCTGGTGACAGGCTCCGCCTTCGTCCTATAAGTTCGGAGTCACCAGCGTCATTACTCAGTTCTATCGCCCTTCACCTCGCGATAGTCACCTCTAAATCTGAGTTCACATAGCTGCTGCTAGTTAGCTCAGCTTCTAAGGTTCTTAGGCTAGCTTTACGGGTGCTAACCGCGTTACCTGCTGGTTTGTGTGTCTGCTGCTAGACGCTACTTAAGTGACCTTTATTGTCTGCTGAAAATCTGTTTTGTCGTTCAAGATGAGCACAAAACCACCTTCGAAGAAGCCGAAGTCTTCTGTTCGCCCCTGTCCTCAGGGGTGCGGCTTTAAGCTTCATGAGAAGGACCAGC